TGCGAGCCTACATGGGGGGCTGGTTACTTGGGGAATGATTTGCTATTTCATCGGAGCCCCAACGTTGCTATGTTCCTAATGGATCCAGAATACGCTATCTGTAGTCATTATCCAGCGGATGAACAATGGCAGTTCCTTGACCAGCCAATCAGCAAAGAGGAATTCGAAAAGTTGGTCGTGCCTTCTGGAAGGATTCATGAGGTGGGAGTCGAGCTGTTAAGCCACAAAGAAAGCATTTACACCATCAAGGATGCGGATAACATAGACATGATGTTTTACTCGCCTTCTTTGAAAATACTGCGCGGTGGTCTAAAAGATTCCTCGGGGAAAGAGCTCGAAGGACGAAAGTGGACGCAAGTAATTCCCTGTGGGGTGAACAAAGTTAAACTAAGAGCGCAGTTTCCCACCCCCGGCAAATTCAAGTTGTGTCTGTACGTAAGGGACGCAGATTCAAATAATACGTGGCAACATGGAATAGAATATCTTATCAACGCTGGTAAAGGCGTGGAAAAACGTCGAGGGGGATTTCCTCGGATAGGAAACGAATTCTACGAAATGGGATTTTACCTTGATCATCCGTTCGAGAACGTCGTCTCGCAAGATGGAAAAGCGTACATCTCTATAGAGAATTACAACTCGCAGATTTCAGGCGTCAGTGGCCATTTAGAACTTGAAGGAAAAGACAAGAAACTTGAGAAAGAGTTTAACGGCTTTACGTTTTGTTGGACAGAAAAGACGAACAAAGGTTATCAGGTTAAAGTTCATTGCCCGGTTCCCGGCGAATACTCTTTGAACATATTCGCAAAGCACACTGAGGAGGGACGTTCTAACACTTATGTTTGTGGCTACTATATCACTGCACTCGCTGGCGTACGACCAGTCCCAGGCTTTCCTCGACTATCCGATCGCTTTGACGCTTGGGGTTTGGAGCTTATGGAGCCCAGAGAGAACATCCATGTCCCGGATGGACGCGCCTCTGTCAAGATAAAGACCCCGAATGAAATTATCTTCAGTGGCCACTTGATGAAAGGAAGTCAATATTTAGACAACGGTTTGTGCTTTACTACGACGTCAGACGGCGTGAGTACAGTTTTTGTACACGCCCCAGAAACCGGCGAATTTCAGCTCAACATTTTTGGTAGAAAACCCGGCAGCAAAGATAGTGAATACCTGAGTTCGTTAGTCATCAAGGCAGATCAAGCAGCTAGCTTAAACCCAGGCTTCCCTTACCTCAAGGATGAGTTCAAAGAGTGGGGACTGGAACTGGTCGATCACTTCGAGAACATTTTGTCCCACGAGAGTCACGTGACCGTAACACTTTCACACCCCAGTAACATTTCTGTCCAGTTATTCCTATTTGATGAGCACAACAAGCAGATTGGTTATTCTCTTCCATCACAGACCGCTGACAACAAGACCACGATAAGCTGTGAGCTGCCAAAGCCGGGAAGTTTTAAACTGAACATTTTTGGTACAAATTTGTCACTCGAAAGCACTAAACAAACCTATCTCGGTTCATACAAGGTTCTATACCAACCTAAATGAGGTTTATTCCAATGTAGGACAAATTTGAAAGACTGCATAGATTATGTAAGACTTTCTTGGTTTTTGTCAGTGTGTGTGTTCCCTGATCACTGATTAACTCTTAATAATCTATTTAAAACTGCGCACAATGTCCATTCCTCGGATAGTCAGTGCATAATAGCCCCTCCCCGGTTTTTTTCAAATTTTTAAGGGGTCCAGTAAGCGAATGTCCGTCAACACGGCTGGAATAAACGCTTTAAAATCAGCTAAGTTGCCAAGTTTGAAAGTGATTGGTTGAAAACTATCGAAGATATAGCTCTGCAAAGGCGCGAGATTTAGTTAAAGACGTTTGTATATATGGTAGCAGGTAAATTCGTGCCCCCACCGTACAACGTCTGTAACGCGACTTTTGGAGCAAGATCTTTGCTCTTGTTTGACGTATCACCTATAAACCTGATGACTTAATCGATTTTAAGGCCCTCTTTCCAGTAGTGTCAATAGATGTTCGCTTATTACTCTTTATCACAAGTTGGAAAAACCGTGGAAGTGCCTTTTCTGCCTTCTCAGCCAACTAGGTAATAGGAAAAACCTAGCATACACCAGATCAATTCGCGCTAGCTTTTAACTGCGTTTAGTCACTGAAAGTATATATAGTTCCTAGGGCCTTTTTATATCTATTGACACTAAGCTTTTAGGGGAGGGTAGGAAAATACTTGAACCACTCAATTTACAAGGATAGTCATACCCTGGAAACGAGATTTAAGTGAAGGCTGCCATGTGAAGTTGGCGAGCATTGTGCTATGTATTTTTCCCGCCCTAAGTATTAGTAACGGGTTGCTAGTTCCCGAGCTTCCACTGGTCACCAGGGTTACCATTTTCCCGGTTTAGCTGAGTGTAGCTTGCAAACTTTTGCTGCTACCTTTTGGATAGGGAAATAGATAGATTTCCATGAGGATGCCATTTGCAATGTCCTAGCCTGTGAACAGTTAGAATAAGATAAANGTGTGCGTTCCCTGATCACTGATAAACTCTCAATAATCTCTTTAAAACTGCGCACACTGTCCATTCCTCGGATAGTGAGTGCATAATAGCCCCTCCCCGGTTTTTTTCAAATTTTTACGGGGACCAGTACGCGAATGTCCGTCAACACGGCTGGAATAAACGCTTTAAAATCAGTTAAGTTGCCAAGTTTGATAGTCATTGGTTGAAAACTATCGAAGATATAGCGCCGCAAGGTCGCGGAATTCAGTTAAAGACGTTTGTATCATGGTATGAGGCAAATTCGTGCCCCCACCGTACAAATGTCTGCAACGCGACTTTTGGAGCAGGATCTTTGCTCTTGTTTGACGTATCACCTTTAAACCTGATGACGTAACCGATTTTGAGGCCCTCTTTCCAGTAGTGTCAATAGATGTTCGCTTATTACTCTTTATCACAAGTTGGAAAAACCGTGGAAGTGCCTTTTCTGCCTTCTCAGCCAACTAGGTAATAGGAAAAACCTAGCATACACCAGATCAATTCGCGCTAGCTTTTAACTGCGTTTAGTCACTGAAAGTATATATAGTTCCTAGGGCCTTTTTATATCTATTGACACTAAGCTTTTAGGGGAGGGTAGGAAAATACTTGAACCACTCAATTTACAAGGATAGTCATACCCTGGAAACGAGATTTAAGTGAAGGCTGCCATGTGAAGTTGGCGAGCATTGTGCTTTTTATTTTTCCCGCCCTAAGTATTAGTAACGGGTTGCTAGTTCCCGTGCTTCCACTGGTCACCAGGGTTACCATTTTCCCGGTTTAGCTGAGTGTAGCTTGCAAATTTGTGCTGCTACCTTTTGGATAGGGAATGAGATAGATTTCCATGAGGATGCCATTTGCAATGTCCTAGCCTGTGAACAGTTAGAATAAGATAAAAAGAGGAGCCGATATGATCAGCAGACCTGCACCGTTCTAAACCTCTTATTTCACTGGTCCCCATTAATCTGCTTTTCCATTGTTTTCAGGGATAGGGGCTTTGTTATCATACGATCTCTGAGTGAACTCAGAGGGCCTGTTAATCAACCTCGTTCCCAGGCTTCTCTCCTACTCAGAGAACCCTGGGAACAAGATTGCCTGTTCACAATCTACAATTGCCTGAGTGAAGGCTTGCGTATTGTTCAAGTTTGAAATAAAATTTCACACAAAGCAATGATTACGGAATATATCATCTCTTTACAATTCGATCTCCTTTCACAAAATTTGTGTAACTTACATTCATGTAGAGTTTGCAGAATCATTACATATATCAACGCAAAGAGTTCTACTCTATATCTGGTAAGTTACGAATAGACCTTGTCACAGTTTTCGACACCATCTTGACGAGTAGCCAAAGGCGTGAGAAATTACAGTGTTTGTATGAGAATCAAATGTCGAATAATTTCCGTAGAACAGCTGTTCTGAAAAAATATCAATTGTAAAATAAAGCTTCACTCCTAAGGATTCTACCGAAAAAAATTGAGGGCTTTACATGCGCTAGAAGACCTAGAACCACTTCTTAAAATTTTCTATACAGTTGTCTGTAAGAAAGTCCCGGGAAAAATTACCGACAAATATATGGAAAATCTAAAGCAAGCCTGTGAAGAAATTTCAGCACAGGTACGCCCTAAAAAGTTGTTAGTGCAATCCTTTGCCTTGTAATTTAGTTTCCTGTGGAATTTCTGCGTCCGAGAAACGAGCGCAGAAATTCCATACTGATGACGTGTCACTACCCAGATCTGGGTAGTGCTTCTGTTTGGCCGTGCCGCGTGGGAAATTTGTCTCAACCAATCAGAAGCACTACCGAAATCACAACAATGCAGCCGTTAAAAACTTTAAAACCGTTTGAACTTTCTTGACCTCTCAGGAAACAGGACCTCAAATCTAAGAACGTTATTGGTCCATTTGCCAAAAAAATTGAGAATCTTTTGTTTTTCAAAAACCGTTGTGATTGGATAATCTTCATCCTAGTGCCCCGGTTCGAGTAGTCGCACTGTAATTTCTCAAGTTCCATAGCGAATAAGAACGCGTGATTGGCATCAAAAGCAAAATGAACTAGGCAGCCGTGACACCGCCCC